TACCCTTGTTTTTTTCATTTCCATAAGATCAGCAATATATAAGAAAAAGATGTGAAGGTACATATGTCCAAGAAGCGTATGAGAAGAGTTTTAAATTAAAACATGTATTATATTAATTCAGTATACGCATGAATAGACGTATGCATATATTCAAGAAGTGTCTAAGAAGTTTCTGATAGAAGCACCCTGGTAACATGGGTTACATATGTACGGAAAACAGATTCATGGGCAATATGAATACTAAAACCTCGTGTGATCACACCTCAAAACTTTTATCACAATTACTTAAATTTATCTATCACAGTCACAGTTATTCCTGATGGCCTAAGCAACTACCGACACAAACTTGCATGCTCAACAACATCAAGACACATTCACATAAAACAATGGCAATTTTATTTGCAAATGTTGCAATGCAGATGCTATCATAAGAAAATCAGAAAGGCGATAGTTAGGAAATGCAAAGGTGTAACACCTATAAAAACTACCTTTTCCTATTAATGCGAACAGCCAGGATTGATGTCAAAAAATTTAGTTCTCGCAGCGGAACTCCAGTAACAGTATTGAACATACATAGGCGACGAGGGGATAAGAAAGGCTGTTTGAGTCAAGTAGAAAGACAAAAAACATATTTGGTTATATTATTTATTTACAATTGTTCAAAGGAAAAACTTAGAGAACAAACAGATTTTGAAAATACCTGCTCCCCTGCTCCAACTATAGCAACAAGATTTGAGCTAAATAGCATTTCAACAATGCTAAATGCACCAGTAACTGCCAAAATATGAATAGGAACATGACTTTATATGTAAAAAGAGCTGGAAATGCATTTTAGTGAGAAGTAGTGCAGAAAAATATTTTGTGCATCTATTTGTTAGTAAGATAAATTAAAGCAGTCCATAGCATCACCTAACATCGAGGTTCATTGATATTGCACAAGCTAAGATATAATCAACATGGATCTTTTAATATCAATGCTTTTTCATTTTAAACAGTCTATAACATCTTCTTACGCATCTTAGTCCTACATAGGCTTGTTGAGCTAGCATGCAATGTAAATGCTAGTTTAGTAACAGCGGAGAGCAAGTCGATAGACGACAAGACTTAATACAAGTGTAAATACTAACTGAAACAATCGGATGGTGAAATTTGAAATATGAAATTAATGCCATTCGTTTTAACTCGGAGACAGCACTAAAGCTGAATTTCAAAAGAAATATAGCTACTATATTAGACATCTCTATAATTTGTTCAATTTGTGTGTTTAAATGTTTATTGAGGTGGGAGATTGCATGGTAAGTTCAAGGAAGCATGTAGAAGATTTATGGGATGAAAGAGAAGGGTCTTAGTTGGTGGATGCAATCCTCGAAGAAACACTATTCGTGGAGAGATAATAGGATATAGATGGAATTTGCAACTTTTTCACGAAATATCTGGGAAATTTAGCAAAATCTTGGCATTAAATTTAAGAATAGAAAGAAAAATAGCATGAAGTGCTTTTGGTACCCACAAAGATCCTGAAATAGGTGATGTGTGGACAGCCACAAAAGAGAAGAAAAGAAATAGAGGATGCAGGATTTTACGGCCGCAGCAACATGTTAGGGTTTTCCCTATATGCTTTCATCAAGTGGATGGATCCGTATTCTTTCTAAAAAATATTTTGTTTCATCATTTATTAACCTCAGAGGGGCAACATGTGGGCTGGACGATCAGAAGATTAAGTACGATAGAGCACCAATGTGATTGTTTAACTTGGATTAGTAATTCTTATTCTGATATGGACCTATTGTGTGGTTGTTTTTCCTTGTATATGTATTTTGCTCTTATTTTGGTTAATCACTACTCAATACATGTGAATCCTACGCATTACCAATCTTCAAGTAGTTGATGCCGTTTGCATCCAAACTAGAAAACAATGACTAATTAGCTATCTTTAATTGTATTCTGAAATTTCTGTGCTTTAACCACTTAAATTTCTTTGTTTAAGCATCAAAAGCAATCAACCAACAATCACAATTTACCTACTCACAAGTGTCAAAAGTGCAAAAACAAGGGGGGAAATAATTTAAAATTGAGGGTGAAAGAGATGATACTTCTCTCATAGGACAGCCTTCCATTGCTCGCATCGAATATCTTAAACCCATCCTTCGTGGCTACAGCAAAGTAGCTGTGATCATTTAAACAATTTTTAAAAAAAAAATCAAAATTTGGGCCAAATTGATAGAAAAGGTCGAAACTTTTCACAACTATGTGTAAATTCCAAGTTCAGTGAAGAGAAATCTAAGAGACAAGGAGATTGAATCAAAACCCTAAACGTAATTATCATGAAAAGGGACTAGGGTGTTACCTGTTGTCTTGATTGAAGGAGGCGCAGATGACGGAGGAATCGCTCGCCATGGGGCGTAGTGGTGTTTTTGTCGTTAAGTCCGCACTAATTTTGAAATTCGGTTGCTTTATGCGTGGACTTGAGAGCCGGAGGTAGAAATATGTACATATAAATGGGAAGGAAAATCTGCCGAAAGACTTCTAAATAGAGGGGGTGTTTTGATAAATTGCTTGCTTTGTTCCTTCAAAAGAATCCGAGATTGCGAGGAATCATGTGTATTATTGAGAATTGAGAATTTATTAATAAGAAGAAAGCTTTTATATAGTTAATCGGTTATTGTTAAAGGTTAACTGTGAGGGGTGGAAACGAATTGAATCCAATATCATACTATTCGAATTAGATTCAGATTGCGATACTCCAATTAGGGGCTGTTTGGTTCGTTTTTCATATATTAGGAAATACAATTCCATGTAAAAAAATTCAAGTTTTGGGTTTTTAAAACTTTTCTAAGAAATAAATTGCTTAGGTTTGGTTCACACGTAAAACATGGTGGGAAAACAATGTATACAAATTTCTTGTGTTTGGTTGGTATAAAAAAAGGAAAAACTTTTGTTGATTAGACATTTTCCACTTTTCTTGTATTTGGTTTGTATTGAAGTGTGTAGTAAAAAATGTATGCAATCACCATAATAAGTTTACCCTCACTAAAAATAAATTTATTTGTGATCGTTATGAGAGGTAATCTTAGCAAAATAAAAGTGTGAATGTAACTATAAATATCTCTTTGACATAAAAATCATAAGAAACTTGTAATAACATGATTAATCGTTATGAACTATGTACGTGATTTGACATGAAATATACCTGTTAGACATGAAAAAATTACACAAAAACGGTTTAACATGAAAAAACAAATTAAACCTGTAATAACCTGATTATTTATAATTTTATGAAATATGTACCTGAATTAGTGAAAGTTTCTTATGAAACCTGTAAAAAAAACTATAAACGGCCTGATTAGTCATAAATATATATGTATATGACATGGAAAATCGCATCAAATCTGAAAAGACCAAACATGTATGTAATGGAGACTAAGTAGTTGAGTCAACTATAAGAAACAAAACCAGTTAGGTTTCAAAACCATGAGCGCTTCAAAACCATGGTCAATACCAATAAAAAATTTATTGATCCAAATAAATATTATCAGATTCAACATCCAACCACCAAGTAAACGTACTAGTCCATAAACATCTATAAAACGCAATGTTCACATACCAAATTCTAACCAAGAAAAAAATATGAGTAAGAAAAGTAAAGGTATTGGTGAATTTTCATCTACACTATTATCAAAAGTAAGAATATTTAAAAAATTTATGATAAACAATGGAGCTGTTTATTTTAATGTCAAATTACTATGTTTTTTTATCAGCGTGGAAGGATTACTAAACATGAACAAACATTTGAAGAATGGATTGCCTATACGGATAGAAATCAAGAGCAAGATGAAATGTGGGATATCATGAAATTAGCAGAAATTATTCTAAAAGCTAATGCTATAAAAGTTATAGACCGAAATAAAAATTGGAAGTGCCCTTACTGCAAAGATATACCCAACATTTTTTGTGATAAAAATCAACTCCTAGCATACACCCATGAAGTTGGTTACAATGAAGTTGTTGCCAATTTGAGTAAGGAATATATTGGAGAGCATCGTGGTCTAGGAATCTATTTAAAATCGCAAAATGAAAGCTTGGACATGTACTACTTTGCTATTATCGTGTACTACTTTGATAATTTATGCATGTTCAAATTTGAATGAACTTTATTATCGTGTACTACTTTGATAATTTATGCATGTTCAAATTTGAATGAACTTTATGATTAAAAAATCATTTGAAAACATTTGTTGACATCACATAAAATAAAAAATCATTTGAAAACATTTGTTGACATCACATAAAATAAACCAGCCACATGTATATGCAAATTATGGCTGAGGGCTCAAAACTTGATCAATATAATCATTGTTAGCCATCCAGTATAATATCAATAGATATTGCAGATTGCTAATCTCAGAAAATTTGACAATCATCATAGCCTAAAAGTAAAAAAGTCATCAATGTAAACTTGTGAAAAAAACATGAATACACGAATTAAAAACAAAAGATAATAACTAGAAAAAGTAAAACATAGAGTTACATGAGCATAAATAGTACAAACAAATATGAAAATTAAGTCTCAGTAGTTACATCATGATTATACTTATCACAGTAGTCCACCCACATCGCCCAAACAATGTCATCCCTAAGAGTCTTCCACTCATTTTTTTAAATTCAGATTGCTCTCTTTAGGTCTGAGTTTGAGTAAAATTAACTAAATTATTATTTTTCATCTCACCATCAATATCTTTATTAAATTCGAACTCATTAAGTAGTTCATCACTTGGATCCACTTTTGTAATAAAATTATAAAGTATTGTGCATGCCAATATGATATCTACTTGTGTAGGAAATGGGTAACGCGACTTAGCACACAAAATCTTGAAACGATTCTTCAATGTGTGAAATGCAGATTCAATTTTAGACCTCAAAGAAGAATGTCTTAGATTGAATAATTCTCTTCTATTCTTAGGTGTTTTACTCGAATGTTCTTTCAAATGATATTGAACACCTCGGTATAGAGAGATAAAACCTGGTATGGTGGGGTACCCAACATCACACAGATAGTATTTGCCTACAATTTTATTAAGAAAATTGTTAAGGAAGCCAAGTTTGCATATTAAAATTAAAATATTTTAATTTAAAATTTTACATAATCACCATCATAGACTTTCAATCCATGTGGTTCTGGAGAGTCCTATAATCATTTACAGACCCCTCCCAAGCTGCTAAAATATATGTGAACAATTTGTTTGGGGTGCAAGCTGCAAGCACATTCTGTGTAACACCTTTGCAACCTCGAAATCGTGCAACAAGATTAATCGGAAGTATTACAACAACATGAGTCTCATCTATCATACCAATGCAATCCTATAATACGTGTATCACATCACTAAGTTAACGTTTATTTTCATTGATTATACATGTAGTTGTGCTTAAAGTGTAGATATACCTTGAATAAGGGTAGTATAGCGGGTTGTTAACGATCTCTTGGGGAATGTTATTGGAGGCTTATCTCATGTAGCATCCACGCAAGCAAATAATTACTTATAATACCTTGTTGAAATATCTACTGACTGTCTCCCCTAATCTTATAAAATGAGATCTCACAATACGATTTTTAAATTTATGACCCAAAATATTCAGAATCATGATAAGTTGTTCTTCCACTATTATATTCATTGAGTCTTTTAGCAGCCTATTGTTCCTCATTATACTTGCTAGTTTAACAAAAGCACCACTCCGCATTCTAATGTAGTTTACCCAACTATAACTAAAACCATTATAAATATGCTCTATGTGTTCAATTCTAGCCCTCTCTTGTTTTATTTTTTCCTCACCTGGATCACTACGAATTGATCTACGTCTAGCTTGCATTCTCATATGAATGTAAATATTATAACAAAAACAAATAGTGCAATACCTTGAACCATATTAACAATACTTTTTCATCCATACAATCCCCATCGACATCCATCTGCAATGTGTAGGCATCGAAAACTGCCTATAGGTCTCCACAAACGGTTCAGTGTTAAAGAACGACGATGAACGTCACTACCCAATCCACAGGAGTCCAATCGACGTCGATGAACGACTGAAGTGAATCGACGAGCTACGTGAGCAGACAGGATTTCGGAACAACGAAGACCCGGACTAATCGGAGACCCGGCGGTGTTCACAAAAAGGACAACGCCCTTCGTGCCTCGACCACTCTACAGATAATCCAACCACCAGAGCGGATCGAACTCTTCGTCAAGCATCCGACGCACCCGGAATCACTCAAATCCGAGTTCGGACGAAGAATCTACAGGGAAGACAACGAAATACACCTAAACGGAGTCCCGGCAAGTCGAAATACCCCGGGGGTGTCTAGGAAAAGCCTAGACACCCCAGGGGTGTCTCGGCCTGGCCGAGACACCCCAAGGGTTCTAGGCCCCCTAGACCCCCCTACACACTCCTATATGCCTATAAATAGACCCCTAGTGCCTTGCTTTTAGGAGGAGGATTTTTGGAGAGCCTTGGCGAAGCCCTGCTGCAGCAAAGAGTGGTCGAACGCTTCAACCAAGGAGGAGAGGTCTACATCAGTCTTCATCACCCATTCCCCGTCTGATCCTTAGTATTAAAGAGAGAGATCCCTCGTGTGATGGTTCCGGACCTTGGCAGAGAGTTTAAGATACCAGGGTACAAGCGGGACATTAACTCGGATTGTCGCCCGTGCCGATGCTTCGCTTTGCTGCCTATGGTTGATGGTGATGACGCTTTCGGAATTCTCCAGTCTTTGGACTATCCTTCTTCTTCGCTGGAAACGCCTAGGCTTAGCTTCAGGGGACGTTCCGGTGGAGATTCCTCGTTGAACAACCGAAATCTCACTTGGAGCTTCAGGAGCAACAGGCATTCTGATAACACCGCCTTTGATGATGTTGGCACACGGACTAGTGAGGCTCCGTGTCTGCGTGGGTCGTCTCTCGTTTCCGAAGATTTTATTCGCATGACCCCAGCTCTATAATACAACCATACAGTTTTGATAACTGGAGCAACCTACAGAGTGTTGGTACGCATTTTCCAGATACAATATTATCATCATCAGACGAATAGACGCTTTATTAGCCGTTCTGCAGAGTCGCTCGTTCTAGTCTACGCTTTTGTGAACGTAAAAACTTAACGGGCTCTTGAACTTCGGACAGCAACGCCGATGCGGTCGCAATAGGGGTTTTCCCGCTTTGATATTTTCCTAGGGGGAGTTAGAACGACGGCGCCCAGTGCGGGTTTTCAATCATTAGGGGACCTTTCAACGGACAATCGGCTGCCTTGATAGGTACTTTATCTCGGATTGCCACATGGTATTGGGAGGGACGGCGAGGCGACCTTTGCACAGAACCTGGATGTTAAGGTCGCGTTGATAACATGACCCCCCGGAGGTGCGGGGTAAGGGGAACAGGGACTTAGCTTTCGTGAAGGTTGGGCAGCAACAGTCTTCCACTCTCGTTCTTAGGCGTTGGGTTCCGCTTTAGCATCCATAACACTTGCTTGAGTTTTGGCGAGTCTTGAAGGC